AAAAATGATATTCATCACCAATTTCTTGCAGGCACAAATTACAAATACGGCTCTCCCTAGGGATATTATTATGTCTGCCTCTTTCTATTTCTAAGGGATGGCACGCACATCTTAATCTTGCTATTGCTCTGCGCAATTTTAATTGTGGCAATGACACATAGTTTTCAATCCCAAAATTTGTTTTGTATTGCCTATAATACTGCGTTTTTTCGACAGAACAAACGTCTATATACCAATCTGTAATTCCAGTATCTTTGACCCTTTCACAAACTTTATACAAGAACATATCAGAGTCCCCCACCCCTTGATTAAACCAGACATAACCAAATCCATATTTAAATAGCAGTTCTTTAATTTCTGTGGCCCATGACCTTTGTCCTTTTTCGTCCAGTGAAAGTAGCATCCTGTAAGCTTTCTGGGGTAATCTGTTTTCATCCATGCTAGTAATTTTTAACCAATATTTCACACATCGTTTAACATGGTAACAAAATAAGGGTAGCCTCCCACAATCCCCTAATACTGTACAAGTTGGAGCATTTTTACCTACACTGAGGTATTGCCTACAATAAGATTAAAAAATTAAAAAAGGTCATGTTGTGAAAGGTGACAGAGATGGACTTTGGCATTCAAAAGGTTAAAGGTTAAATGAGCAATACATATATTTAGTGTTTTACAAATATTGTGTTTTTCAACAACAAAAATCACAATGTTCTAAATGTTAACAAAGACTAAGAGTGTTGATAATAATCAGTTTACAACAAAATATAACTCTTTCAATCCAAAACAAAATGGCCGCCGTGCTTTAAACAATTATCTCATTACTATACATTATTGACGGGATACTGTAAACGATTCTTCAATTCAAATATTGACTAGATGTTTGTGATAAGTCATTAAATTTAAATAAAAATAGTAGAAGTTGTCATTACAGTAGCTTCAACTATTAAAGAGAAAGGAAACTTGTGTCAATGATTTTGACCAATTACACTGATTGGTCACAAAGTATTAATTGACTTACGAAGTTCACAGTTAGTTCCAGTCCAGCCTGACAGGCAGTTACATGAATAATAATTAACAAAATCCAAACATGTGCCACTATTTTGACAGGGAGTACTTCCACATTCGTTGATATCTAAATAAATGAAAACAAATATATATGATAATAGTTTGTGATCTAAACAGATTACATAGTATTTGACAAAGCATCTTTTAATTTGACAAATTCTCATCCAGACTGGTGTGTCTATTGGAAGAATTTTCTACAAAACCCAGTATACTTCCTATACAAATACAGTTTTATGAAATATACAATCCAATCAGTGATAATATATGTGTGCATGATCTTTTCTGAGGTGGTCCTCGAGTATAAGCCCACCCCCTAATTTTCCCGATTTTACATGTTCAGGCCCCTGGGCTTATACTCGGGGAAGTACGGTATGTACCAACTTTGACAAAGCATAGTAGTACTATGGTACTACGGTTCATGGTACTACATTTTCAACAAAAATAAGATGGCTGTCAGTCTTTTATTGTTACATGGAATAAATCGTCATAGACATGTATCCTAACAGGTATAATGTATGTACCAATTTTGAACAAAAATTGAAAAAGGATGTCAAAGATACCACATTTTCAAGAAACAAAATGGCTGCCAGTTGGCCATCTGTTTCAGGTCCAGAGAGTTCTGAACTCGAAAATGGATTGATTAAAATCAAGAACAGTGAATAACATTGGGAAATAACAAATCTGATTTTATTTTACGCTTGGTAAGTGCACAAAAATGATAAAATGTTTCATATATACCAGGACTACCAATGGCAGTAATGGTCAGCATTTAATGGGTCAGAAAACAAACACTCACCATATTCACAATGAACACCAGTAAATCCAGCATTACAAGTACATGTATAGAAATTTATCATATTATTGCAGAAACCATTTTGACATGGGTTACTGGAACACTCATTTATATCTGTAATAGTGGTAATTATTGTACATTAATATGCAGTAATGATCAGTAAACAACTGGCAATAATATTATAAATTAAAATATTATTGAATGAGTAATAAATAAAGCACATTGAGTGACAAAGGATAAGTGAACAGAGAAGTGAGTGAGTGAGGCAGATAAATGAATGAATTATGGTGAATGAATGAATGAATGAATGGATGAATGAATGAATGAATGAATGAATGAGTTTGTGTTACATAAATGTAGATATTATAACATACATCAGTCCCATTAAACCAGGTCATGTGACTAAAAAATAAAATGGAGAGTAAAAAATAAATAAAAATGTGTTAGTGTTATAATGCATATTAAAACTTGTTAAAAGAATGAATGTATTATTAATGTATTATGTTATGTTATTTTGGGTACAGTGTTCATCGAATTCTACCTATTAATTAAACAAATATATAAATAGTACATTAATACAATGGGAACAAAAGGAACATTGTAGTGAGTTTGCAGTGAGTTATAATACTGTTAACTGTACTATATAATTAGTACATTAA